TCTCACTGTGTTGCCCAGGCTAGTCCCAAACTCCTGGTCTCAAGTGATCCTCCTACCTTGGCCTCCCAAAGTGCTGGGATTACAAGGGCTAAGAATTCCATTCATTAATTTACTCACTCATTCATGGATAAGCAGCTTTCCCTGCATGTGTACCTGGCCTCCTCCTGGGTGGATACAGCAGGCAGATGGTGCAGAGGCGGCTGCTCTGGAGAGAGTGGGCAGGTCGAGTGGGATGGGGAGAGATGGGACCAATGTGACCTGTGGTGGTCCCCAGGTGGCCGGGATGCGGTACCTGCACAGCGTCCTGGGCCCCATCATCAACAAGGTGTTTGAGGAGAAGAAGTACGTGGAGCTGGACCCCAGCAAAGTGGAAGTTAAGGATGTAGGGTGAGGCCGGGGGTAATTGGGGGGGGCGCAGTGGTGGCAGGGTGGGATCAGGCCCTCTCTGCGCGTGTTTGTGGCTCTGCCCACCGGTATATTGCCCCCTGTGTGCGTGTCCCGGCTGCTGCTATAACCACTGCCCCTGTCGTGGCCCTGGCACTGACCGCGACCCCCTCTGCCGCCCCGCCCCGTCCCACGCAGGTGCTCTGGGCTGCACCGTCCGCAGACCGAGGCCGAAGTGCTGGAGCAGAGCGCGCAGACGCTGCGCGCCCACCTGGGGGCGCTGCTGAGCGCGCTCTGCCGCTCGGTACGCGCGTGCCCAGCCGTGGTGCGCGCCACCTTCCGCCAGCTCTTCCGGCGCGTGCGCGAGCGCTTTCCCGGCGCCCAGCACGAGGTGCGTCCTCCACCCGCCGGGCCGGGCTGGACTCGGCTGGGCGGGGCCGAAGAGCGGTAGGGAACCACCGAGCGCTGGGGAAGGGCGGGGAGGCGGTATCCCGGGGAGGGTCAGGGACGGAGCCGAAGGGGGGGGCTGCCCGGCGCCCAGGCTTGGGGGACGCCAGCCCGCGCTCTCCCGCACCCCCCTAGAATGTGCCGTTCATCGCCGTCACCAGCTTCCTGTGCCTGCGCTTCTTCTCTCCCGCCATCATGTCGCCCAAGCTCTTCCACCTGCGGGAGCGCCACGCGGACGCCCGCACCAGCCGCACCCTGCTCCTGCTGGCCAAGGTGCGGGCCTTGCGGCCACGGGAGGGAAGCGCAGCTGGGTGTCGCACCGGGGCCCTGGCCCGGACTGCTGTGTGTTCCCTACCGGCTCTTGCGAGGCCACTGGCACGCCCACGTGGGCATTGCACTTCACAGTTTGCAAAGCCTTCCTGTGGCCACCTTGTCCGAGCCCTGTCTCACGGATAAGGGGACAGGCCTTCGAGGGGTCGGAGGTTGCCAAGGCCGCCCAGCCTGTCAGTGGTGAATCGGGGGACCTTCCAACCTGGGTCTACTTACTCCCAGGCTGCACCTGTCTGCCCGGCACAGGGGTGGGGTACCCAGTGAGTGTAGCAGCGGCTATTAAACCTGCAGAAGAAGGCTCAAGTGGTCTCAGTTATAATAAGGCATGGAACTCTGTGATTCACTCCTCCCTGATCCCTTGTGGAGCTGGAGAGGGGGTTCCCGTGGGCATGGCCTCTGTCGCCTCTGCCTCATCTCTACAGCTGAGTAGCAAAGACTTGGGGGGTGGGAGGGGTGCAGTGGCTAGGCCCCTGACCCAGCAGAGCCTGGCTTTTCCTGCTGTCACCTACAGGCAGTCCAGAATGTGGGCAACATGGACACGCCGGCTTCCAGGGCCAAGGAGGCTTGGATGGAGCCGCTACAGCCCACTGTGCGCCAGGGGGTGGCACAGCTGAAGGACTTCATCACCAAGCTCGTGGACATCGAGGAAAAGGACGGTGAGCGCCTCCCTGTACAGACCCACCCACAGCCTACTGCTGAAGTTTGCTCCGCCCTTGAGTCCCACGGCCCCACCCACCGCTGTTCGTGGCCCCTCTCGTGGCCCCACCCACCGCCTACTGTTAACATTTGCCAGGCTCCCGGGCCATAGACCCACCCGCCACTGTTTGTCCTTCCTGTGGCCCCGCCCACTGCCTGGTGTTGATGTTTGCCCCGCCCCTAGACCCCTGTCCTCACCTACCATCATCTGTGCCTGTTGACATTTGCTCCACCCTTGAGCTCCATAGCCCCGCCCACCACCTGCTGTTGACTTGTGTCAACAGCACAAGTCAACCCCGAAGCCCATGGCCCCACCTACCTCTGTCCACCTGTCACCCAGCTCACCACCAGCTGTTGATTTTTGCTCCGCCCTTGAGCCCCATGGCCCCGCCCACTGCCTGCTGTTCACATTTGCTCCGCCCCCTAGTTTAGCTCTCATTCACCGGGCTCTCAATTCCCCCGCTTCCCTGGCCTGGCAGAGCTGGACCTGCAGCGGACGCTGAGTTTGCAGGCGCCACCTGTGAAGGAGGGGCCGCTCTTCATCCACAGAACCAAGGGAAAGGGCCCCCTCATGTCCTCCTCCTTCAAGAAGCTCTACTTCTCCCTCACCACCGAGGCCCTCAGCTTCGCCAAGACGCCCAGCTCCAAGGTGGGTAAGGAGGGAGGCCAGCAAGTGGGGCTCTGAGAAGTTATGGTACCCTAGAAGCACCTGTCCCCTTCCTTGGAGCCCATCTGAGGTCCCCGAGGGTCAGAGAAGAAAGCCAGGTGTGTGGCATCTGTACTGCTTGTCAGAACCTAGGAGGGCCAGGCACGGGTGGCTCACACCTGTAATCCCAGTACTTTAGGAGGCTAAGGTGGGTGGATCACTCGATGTCAGGAGTTCGAGACCAGCCTGGCCAACATAGTGAAACCCCGGCTCTACTAAAAATGCAAAAATTAGCCAGGCGTGGTGATGGGTGCCTATAGTCCCAGCTACTCGGGAGGCTGAGGTACAGGAATCACTTGAACCTGGGAGGCAGAGGTTGCAGTGAGCCGAGATCACACCACTGCATTCCAGCCTGGGCAACAGAGCAAGACTCTGTCTCAAAAGAAAAAAAAAAGAGGATGATCATCCGACCTTACCAGGTTGTTGAGGGTTAGATGAGATTGTCTCCCTAAGGATCCTGAAGACCCGTCCTGGCAGGTAGTACTGTTTAGGCAAATGGTTTTATTAAAGGTAGTACATCCCCTGGGCTACTAGGTGAGGAGGAGGCTAGGGCAACCAGGGGAGGCTTCCTGGAAGAGGCAGGAATATAGAAGCATGGAATCTTGGTATGGGAAGGGATCTCAAAGATCATACTTTATCCATGGACCTGGTGACCCCTTGATGTACACCTGCCCCAGTCATGCAGGATAGTCATGGGGACAGTCTGCCAGGAATACCCAGCCTAGCCCTAAGCAGGCAAGTGTGGGCTGGGGTAAGTGAAGGAGCTCATCACCCATTCTCTTCTCAAAGAGCCAAATCAGGGCTCCCACCAGATGAGGGGTCCACCCCTTCCTACCAAAGACCCCTTGGATGATAATTATTATTTTGAGGTACAGGGTCTTGCTCTGTCACCCAGGCTCTAGTGCAGTGGTATGATCATAGCTGACTGCAGCCTTGAACTCCTGGGCTCAAGCAATCTTCGTGCCTCAGCCTCCCAAGTAGCTGGGACTACAGGCATGTGCCACCAAGCCAGGCTAATTTTCTTTGCGAAAGAGTCTTGTTATACTGCCCAGGCTGGTCTCAAACTCCTGGCCTCAAGCAGTCCTCCCACCCCAGCCTCCCAAAGCACTCAGGTGATTATTATACATCTGTTGAAAGATTTGGCTACATAGGCATCATTTAATGCTGGTCCCCATTTTTGTCTGCTGTCAATCTTTGATAGCCAGTCAGATGGCCTGTCATTCTGAGACAGTTGGGGCCGCTGTTGTGATTTCTACCCTGAGCAGGTCTTCCTCCTGTTTGGCCTCTGCCCCAAGCAGGGAAGACCACATCGTTTCTGAGGACTCAGCAACAGCAGAAAGCACTCAGGTTTCAGACCAGCCTGGGCAGCATAGAGAGACCGCATTGCTACAAAAAAACATTTAACAAATTTGCTGAGCATAGTGGCATGCGCCTGCAGTCTCAGCTACTCAGGAGACTGAGGCAGGAAGACTGCTTGAGCCCAGGAGTTTGAAGCTGCGGTGAGCTATGATTGCACCACTGCCCTGCAGCCTGGGTGACAGAG